AAATGTTCTCTTTTTTTATCACATTTTCAACAAGTCTGATCATTTTGGGAGGTTCGAAGAGTTTAACCTATGAAGTAATAACTGGATAACTGCTACTATTTTTGGCTGCACTGATGTAACAGAGCGTTAAAAGGCCTGCAGGGCTGTCAAACTGCTGCAGATGGTCAGTGGAACTCTGTGGAAATATCAATATATTGACAGAATGCATAATCATGTGCACTGTTGGCTTTGAATACAACTATGGGACACACGCAGACGTACAAGAACACACACGTATTGTACATTTACAAACACGCACCACAAACAGGACTCTCTCTGTAACATCACTTCAGTGATCGTTGCAGCAGCTATTCTGCACATCTCCTTTCAGACCATTAAACTCAAAGTGTCGGCTTCATGTGTGAATAATCTCGCGGCTCACTTTTCTGTAAAAGCTGCAGCAGAAATCCTACCCAGTCTGAGCTGCATGCAGTCACATTAACAGCTCAGAAAAAGCGACATACTTTGACTTTTTCTCCATTTCAGTACAAATACTGGTCCGAAAACAACACAGTTTGAAAATCACAAAGCAGCTTTCTTATTCACTTTGTTCTACACATCTATTACAAACGGAGCTGTCTGTACAAATACAACTTTACACTGATGAAGACAGTCACTGTGTTGCTTCCAGCTGTTTGTAGGAGTCTTTCCTCTGAGTTAATTACATTTAGATTCAGTCTTTTATTAGTGCATGATTATGTTCGATAATTCACATTTGCAAGCATCTTCATTTTATCTGTTAGACACAATAGCTTAAATTCATCATTGCTGCTAAAAAGCTGTCGCCTTCATCGTCTGTGTGTTTGTGTGTCTGTGGGTGTGTTTGTGTATTGACAGTATTAGCAGATTACGGAGGCTGCTGTTGTCGTCATCAGGGTCTGTATTGACAACACATTGTGTGTCACGATCACATGTACACAACACGTCTGTGTGGCTGCTGTCAGAAATCAGAAATCTCAACTCTGATCTGTGACATCCTCAGATAAATCAGCATCTGATTCCTCGCTGTGATTCAGCCTTCAGTCTGTTTTGGTGAAACTTGTGTCTCTGCAGAAGCTGATTTCTGGAGGCTGATACTATAAACATGAGCAAGAGCTTAAAGCACGTCGTATGATTCTTGTGCTGCTGTCTGCTGCATTTAACAACACAGCAGATCAATGAAACCCTGAGATTTACATCAGAGAAATAAGCCTCCTGGATTAGAC